GACTGTTCATAAACTATAATCGAAATACTTTTATTTATAATTTTCACAAAAGCTCCGCCATTGTCAGTCCATTTATAATAAATAAAATGTGAAACTACTTGATTGAAGCTAATAACAATATGAAAGTCGACAGTGTTCAGAATCTCAGTTTTGGGCAATTTTAGTGAACAACAAAAGTGTGAACAAGTGTGATAAAAATTGTAATATATCCATCAGTGTTGTTTTTGTTATACTGTGTGATTACAGTGAAGTAATCGCGGCACAAGTGTTTCACTAATCGTTATATAAATGAAGTTAATTCGTACTCACATCCTGGGTCAGTGCACTTTCTTACAAGCGACTCGAAGACATCGGGCATCTCCGTGTCGAGGCAGCATCTGATCAGAGCCATCTCGGCCCGTTTTTATTCCGCACGCGTGACTTCACCTAGTCATCGACGCTCGCACGTTCCCAGAACCGAACTCGACTGGCCGAGAGCCGAACACGAGTTCACTTGAGGCGAGGGCGGGTGGTAACGAGGCGACGCTCGGCGTCGCGACGCCCGTGCCCCACTAACCCGCATTTCGCGCACGAGGCGAGGCTACCCTTGGCAGTACTTTCCCCGGCTACGTCACGGCGACGAGCGTGCGCTTGTGCGGAGGGTTGACGACGCCTCGACGGCGAGCCTCTGCCGTCCCTGCTAATAAAGCCTGGTCGCTCTCAGGGTCGCGGCCGCTGTAAATCAATGCCAAAACAGAGCTGGACGTGTCACGGGACACGCAGTTCGTATAACACGAATTTATGCTGGAGGCAATTCGTCAATTATAGCAGATAAACTTCCGGGGTTTCATAAGTCTTTCTTGTTAACGCTAGATTGCCCAAGGAAGTAATTTTGACTGGTTTTGGCCAAATATACAAATAATTTCCGCGGGTTGTATGCTCTTCTTTGTAGGACGTCGACGAAAGCGTCCAGACGTGGTACCAATCAGTTAAGGATGTATTGGCTATACAGTCAATCCCAAAAGTTTACGTACCTTAGAAAAACGCATTTCCTATAATTAAAAAGAAATTAGACGTCGGAAGAATAATGCTAATAATAAATAGCTACGTGCTAAAAAGTATAGAAGGAAATATCCAATTAAGAATTGACGCAGACGAAAATTTATTTTTCCAAAATTGCGAAAAATGATTCAAATAAAAGTTGTTTTTCTTCTAACTTCGATATTTAACGAGTTCGGGAAGATGGCATACGACCTTTCTTGTAAAG